ATACGTGCTAAAGGGTGTTCAGTCAAATGACGAACACATTAGTAGAACAGGACATCATTTTTACAACCACGTTCAAGCCAACGAGTCAAGGAAACTCAGTGGCATAACCATAAATGCTGTATACGTACCCTTTGACTTGAAATGGAAGTGAACCCAACAATGTTTCAAATTAGCAGAGTCCCGGAAACCCAACTTTTCTTCATATATCAGCTTTCATCAGTCATTTCGCTTGACAGTCAAGCCTGAATCTGGAAATCATCATTTGCACAAGCATTATGAATGTACTAAGTTAAGAATTCTAGATGATTAACTTTATATATATATATATATATATAACTTTATAATAATTATCTACTTATTCAGATTGCGAATAGCATTAAATTAATAAAGCATGCCTTTTTGAATTATAAACACGTGAGGGGGGATAAAAAGCCAAATATATTTTTCATTTTTTCTTTTCGCCTTCGTGCATTCTCTCTAAAATGATGGTGAACGACCAAAGAAGTGTGTTGTAAAAACGATCTCCACAAAATCAATGAAACTGTCTTTAGTCATACCCTTTTTTAAAAAGAAAGTTGACCGATTATCCAAATCGGCATGTAATTAAATACTGTGTTAATCTTTTTAAATTAGAGCGACTTGTGCTATTTGACAAAGGGAATTCGGGCGCCTGTAGAGGTTGTTGGGCCAGTTTAGCATTCGGAAGAACCTGGACACGAGATGTAAATATCTCAAACTTCTCGGTTGGCTGATTGTGGTCTGTCTGCGGCTAAGCGCAAAATGAGAGAAACCATCGAACTACACCGAATGGAGAATATGTTTCAAGTAAGGAATACCGGCAAAGAGTTAAGTAAAAACCCCTTCAGCTTAATTAACAGATTCCAGGATAGAGTGTGTTGAGCTACCTGCAAATGTATGTGACTCATTTGGCATTCGGGTCGTGAATCTCTACAGCTACGTCTTCACGGCTGTGTGTGCTTATTCATGTTCACTTTTAATCTGTCAACAGTTGGCCACCCTCTGTCGTACGAAAGAGTGCTGAAGTAGTCGTGAAAGTGTTTGGTTGACATATGACGGCAACCAACCAAATCACTTTATACCTGATCAAAGAGGCCAGACGTAGAGTAGACATACCGTTTTTTAGGGATTTGCCGGTCGAAAGCTTAGCACCTTTTCATTGTAATCGAAGGAGATTGCCTCGGAAACAGCGTCAGCATGAATGCTCCAGTAAAGCCAATCGACAGCTGGTCAAAAAGAGACCGCCGTTGACTTCTGGTGGAAGCAACCTTCGAATCTCTTCATCCAACACTTTCACTCGAAATGGAAGAAAGCTCAACAATTATGCAACAAGAAAGTCCTTTTTCTTCGTACTTTGAATCTGTCAACATTTGGTCACCCTCCGTCGTGCGAACGAGCGTTAAAGTGGGGGTTAGCTGCAGGTGAGAAGGCTTGATGCTCCAGCGACGTCTGCCCAACAGACAGAATCGAGGTTGGTTTTACATTGTTTCATTTGTTCCCTCCTTCGGCAGACTCCGACCTCCAACCGAGGCTCGCCACGGCCGGGACGACCGACGTCTGGGCGAGCCGGAAGCCACAACCGATCGATCCGACGCGGATCGAAGCGGCCATTGAATCGGGACGAGGCGGCCTGAGACAGGCACGTTTGGCGCTGGAGAGTGCGGCTGCCGCTGCCGCTGCCGCCGCAGCAGCCGCCATGGCCTGCCGCTATTTGCCCGAGCTGGCCAGACAATCGTCGGCGGCAGCCGCAAGCGCGGCCGTTGCGGCTGCCGCCTCCGGCACGACCTGCTCAAGCGCGCCGCCGCCCGCGTGGCCCTCGACTCTCGGTCAGACGGTGGCTGTTGACGCCCACGCCCTGCCGCCCTGCGACCTCCGCCTCGACGCACGCACTTTCCGCCCCGCCGCCCACGCGCCCT